ACATCGCTCGATTCTCAATATGCTCCTACTATAATAATCATCGTCTTGCCATGTCTGACATTGGTCTGGAGGAAACTAGACAAAGCACATATCCCGAATGCCAACTATTTTTCAGCACGACTACGCCGCATCATGATGGCTTGTTGCCCAAACTCAAGGCCAAATGTGATATCTCAGCGTGTCTGTTGCCGGTCATATACGCTGGTTCTTCATGTTGACCTGGACTACTTTGGAATTTTGATAAAAAGGAACCTTCAAATAAGCCCCTAATATGCGCGCAAGCCCGTTCTTAATCCCAGCAGGATCTTCTGGCGTGTTTGCAAGTCACTCTGCGTACTTTCATCTTCTCCCATTTGTCCTCTCCGTCCACCAGCGCACACTATCAAGCATTCGTCACACACCATCCTATGTGTGTCGCACGAAAAGCAGAGACGTCACGTCATCTTAGCCATCAGTCTACGTCCACTCCCCCTGCCTGTCGCTACTCCGTCAGCCTCATCGGCTGGTTAGGTTATTTGAATGTGCCCCTACGAGACTGCGAGATGACTAAATGTTAGCTCATGCTCGCAATTGACTGTGCACACGAAACCTGTACGGAAGAGTACAGTTTATGCCAAAGTCAAACAACTGCAGCCACGGATTTCCCTGCTGTTCCACGAGGATCTGTATCCTTACTGGTCCAATGCCTTTATGGCGCATGTCCAATGGAAAACTGGACATGGGCGCAATGCCGATCGTCCTCTGGATCATCCGGAGCGAAGGACATGTCACAGTTTTGTCTAAAACGCCACGTCAATATTCACAACGGATTGCAATCCACCGCCAGCCTCATCAGTCATTGATAATAGTTCTGTTTTTGGATCATCATTGGAGGCACTTTTTAGCTCATATAGGCCGAGCTGTTGTTTCAGAGTCTCGGGCGACCTGCGGACTGGTTAAGGAAATTGCAGCCATCGGCGAACTCCACCGTGTGCCGCACAGACTGAAGGCAGCACTGGCGGGGTTCGCGTGAATCCGTTTATTGTGAGGCAGACCTGCGCATCATCTACCCCACTCCCTCCCTCCCACACCCACAGGGCTCCAATGGAAAGACAATGTCCAGATGAGCGGAGGTGGGATCGGGTGCAATGGTGGACAAGGCTGCATACAGTCCGTCTATGCGTTCGCTGACGCGATCTGGTAAAGCATCGGGTTGTGTGAAAGAACATGCATCACACAGGCGTGAGCGATTCCTGTCCCGAAATATCGAGGCATGCTGACGAAGTCACATATTGAGGAGTTAAAGCAACTCCGACAGGACAAAGATAAGGAAACTGGTGTTGTTTTGATGGACAGCGCCGACTAAATTGTAAAATCCAGTCAGTCCTGTCGGACCAGGAACTTTTCAGGAAGGCAGAAAACCAAAAGTATCGAACAGATGAGGTTGAAACTCTGCCGACCGACTGTTTGAAAAGACTTCAAACGAATGGTTTCATTAGCGAATACGACCTAGACCGTCTCCCGCCTGTCGGCACGCATATACCTCAGTTATATGGCTTGCCAAAGATCCACATACATGGTACACCGATTCTAGACATGAAAAACTCGCCGCGCCATGCTATAGCGATGTGGCTAGCGGAGAGACTAAAGCACATACAATACCGGCGTGCATCACATGAGTTAGCACAGGTACTGTAGCTTTCGGTATACCTATGAATTCGTTTACAGCATGAAAAATCTCGACCTTAACCGAAAGATTATGATTTTGCTGGACGTCTCGTCTCTTTGTACGAACGTACCGGTCACAGAAATCGTCAACTACCTCTGTGAAGCCCTTGCCTCCAATAATCATGATATAGGAATGCGGTAAATGCTCTCAAAGAATCGCTGCTGGGATGTACCTTCAAAGTACGGATTCTATTTTACAACAATCCGTATAGACAAATCGACGGGGTAGCTTTTGGCGAATATGTTCATGGGCAAGTTAGAAGCTTTCGAATTTCGTCGCCAGATCGATGGTCTGAGATAGTATGAACGCTATGTGCATGATAGATTCGCGATTGCACCTAAACAAAACGACGTTTGCGTCCCACGGGTCGAAATCAATCAAGCACACCCATCAATCAGATTCACGCTTGAAGGAAAACAGTCCAGATCGCTTCTCTTTCTGTATGTGCTTTTGAGCAGAAGGCCCGCTGGTAGTATTCGACGTCGCGTCTATCGTAAGAAGACGTGGTCCGGACATAACAAGAATTATAGGAGGTTCGTACCATTAAACATAAGGCGCTGCTTGACACAAAGAGTAAGGAGGATCTGCTCAGCTGATAGCATTGAGGTGGAACTTAAGATTGTTGAAAATCGCATTCGCCAGAACGGGTACCTCGATGTATTCATTGCTAGGTACGTGACCGAAAGACTACCAAAGCCCTCGAGGCTGACGGCAGACAAAAATAAGCTTTTCCTCAGGGTGCCGTTTCAAGGGGACGCGCCAAGTGAACTTTTAACAAGGCGCCTAACTCAATCTATATCACACACCTTCCCGACAGTCGACGACCCTGTACTCTTCTCTACTAGTCCCATCATATACGGAGAGGACAAGGACAAACTGTCAGGCCAGACAACCTCTGAATGTATTAACTCCCTCAGCTGCTTCTGTGGGGCAGAAAATATATTGATGACAATATCAGTAAAGACATGCCCATGATTTACCATACTTCAATGCAAGACGCACCGCATAGCCTTGTACACCAAATCCGGTGAGATGGGTGCAAAGAACAGTGTCACGTCGACGAACAGTATCGCCTCGTGAAGCTCCACTTTTGCTCGCGGGAATTGGTGAGGAGTTGAGATGCCGATTTTACTGACGTCCCAGATGCACCTCAAAGAATATGTGGTTAGCGAGTCATCCCGGCTGACTGGGCTGCCGCCTAGGGCTACGATCGGTCGAGGCGAAAGGTGGGATTTGGGGCAGTCCCTGGCAACTGGCTGGCGCTCAGCCAGTTGCTTCTATTTAATGCCATTCGTCCAACCCATACCCGCCTTGAGTAAGAAGACCGTTTAACTGATAACTAACATGTCCTGAGACGGTGACGATGGCGGCGGGATGTTGTGTGGTAGGACAGTCAGCGGTTGAGGCGAGCTTGTGTGCCTGTGGCATCCCGTTCTCCTGGTCGCCAGTCTGGTTATTCTCTCATGACGTCCTCTGGCAGCCTAAATAACACTTCCTGCCAATTGGATTCTGGTTGCAACGCACGTGACATGGCCACGTCGTGGAGACAGCTTGACGCCAATCGGCGTTGTGTCATTCGCTGATCGGGCTTCTAGGCGGACAAAGGTCATGTGTGCAGGCATGCACGCATGCGCGCACCGCCCTCGGCGCACCTCCAAAGGTTGGGCCTCGCCTTGCTGAAACAATTGTCGCCAATGTCTTCTGAGTCGCATCTGCAGTCCCCTGTCACAGTAAGGGCTGCTCGACCAATTCTCTGTCAGCCTTCTGTTTCCACAGCAATCAACACCCCCTTCCTTTCCATGTGCGTACTTCTGCCTACAACCATTCCATTGTGCGGTTAACTGACAAAGGGCAATATAAAAAATGCATGCTCCATCTCCTAGCCATTATTATTATCATCATTAATTTTAGTGTTATTCATATAGACACAACTGTGAAAAATCGGCGCCTCGGTGGGTTTCGAACCCACGCAATAAGGGGAATACTTTAGTACAGCCAACGCTCTAACCACTTGAGCTACGAGGCCCCGCCGGACGACGCGAGTTTAATCACATTTGGATCAAGTTACCCGCCCAACTTACTGCACCGTCTGGAATCCACCAAATCTGATACAGTGAGTTGACTGTCCAAGCAGGATTTCCTAAGTAATTCACCTAGAATCCACCAGATGACTACCAGGCTCACGTAATTCATAGATATTTTCGCGGATTTTGAATAATCCATATTGACCCAACTGTGAAAAAACTCGGCACCTCGGTGGGATTCGAACTCACGCAGTAAGGGGAAGGCTTGATGACAGCCAACGCTCTAACCACTTGAGCTACGAGGCCCCGCCAGACTTTGCAGTAAGTTGGGCGGGTAAACTTGACGCGAATGTGATTAAACTCGAGTCGTCCGGCGGGACCTCGTAGCTCAAGTGGTTAGAACGTTGGATGTTCTAAAGCCTTTCCCTTACTGCGTGAGTTCGAATCCCACCGAGGCGCCGAGTTTTTCACAGTTGGGTCAGTATGAATCATTCAAATTCTGTCAAAATATCTATGAATTATTATTATCATTATTATTATTATTGACGTAAGTTATGTCGTTCCCGCGAACTAACGAACTACGGCTTACTAACCTCATAAACGGAGAGAGGTAAGGAAGGCCAGTAAGTGAATAAAGTTAATATTCAAAATGTTGAACGACCTGACCGGAGAGCATGCAAGCGGCGCGAAGCTTACAAGCGGTGGAGTCCTCGTCACGTTAAAACAAATGCTACAGTAAAACAAACGTGACAAGTTTGTCAAAGGTCAAGTAGTCAAGTACTTCAGCACAGTACCGGAGGGCGGCGTGAACGACGCCGGAGGACATACAAAGGTCTAGAAGAAATGAGTAACTAGACGATCGGGAAAGTGAACGTGACGTCCACTGCGGGTGATATATGCGGGAGGCACTGTTGGAGACAGCTGAGTAGGTGTTGTAGTGGACAAGTTAAGGGTGGAGGAAGAGGTGGCAGTTTGATGCTGCGAACCAGAAGGAAGAGGAAGTATACGGGACGGAGGGATAGGTGGGGAAAGTGGAAAAGGAGTGGGAGGAGGTATGGGGTCAGCACATGCTTGTCCTTGAGACACGTCCTGGGGCTCCTCCACAACAGCAGGCTTGACCCGGTCGATGCTGACTACGTCCTCTTTGTCACCTCGCAGGATCCGAAAGGTCTTGCTGTTACGTGCAAGCACACGGAACGGGCCTTCGTATGATGATTCTAACGGCTTTCGCACACGATCACACCGAACGAACGCATGAGTGCAGTTGGCTAAGCCTTTTTCAACATAAGGCTCGGTCGATGGGGCTCGAGGTGGAACCGGGGAGAGCGAGCGCATGAATTGTCCCAGACGATGCACAAAATTTTAGGGGTCTCTTCGGCACCACGAGAGGTTGGGGTGACCATCTCACCAGGGAGTCGGAGGGTAGTGCCGAAAACCAATTCGGCTGCGCTGCAGTCCAAGTCTGACTTCAGTGCCGCACGAATGTCAAGAAGTGCAACGTGTACATTGTCTGCCCAGTTTTCGGGATCTTCTGCGGCACGCAGTGCACTTTTTAGCTGGCGGTGGAAACGCTCAACCATGCCGTTGGCAGCTGGGTGGTAGGCCGTCGTCCGAATACGTGTGCAGCCAAGGAGGTTGAAGAGAGTTAGGAAAAGTGTGGACTCTAAGTGCGCGCCTCGATCAGTCGTAATCATGGATGGCGCACCGAATATGGCGACCCAACGACTGACGAAGGCTTTCACAATGGTCTCAGCTTGCACAATCGGTAAAGGAATGGCTTCCGGCCAACGGGTATAGCGATCAACGCACGTGAGGAAACTAAATACACTCGGCTTTTATGACCGCGTTGGTTCGTTCCGGGCAGGAGAGGGCCACAGTCGAAAATACACCGGACTGATTTTTGGTTGTTCATTAAGAGATAATTTTCCTCTGACCATGTTAGGACATAGTCAAGGCCATACGTCAGATACTGGATATGTGTCCGGTTTTTGAGAGGGTGTCCAACAACCACATCAACAGCATGCCTGACCAATAGACATCCGTTTGTGGATCTTAGATCATCGGTGCCCGGTTGCCAAAGTCCTTTGTCCGATCGGTATTACATGTCTGCGTATACGATTCCTTTCCCTCTGCCCTCCTGTCCGCTACCTCCGACTGCCACCGCTTACTCCAACACTTCCGCCACCAGATGTATTCACTTTTCTACGGACCCTGTATATATCACTCGCAGTGGTCGTCATGTACACTTCCCTGATCGGTTGGTCACTCATTTCTTTTTGACCTGTACACATCCTTCGGCGTCGTTTTCGCCGCCCTCCGGTCTCGGAGGGGGGTACTGTGCCGAGGCGCCAGACTATCTTGCCTTTCCCTACCTGTTCCTCATACTTGAACTTACTGGTTGTTTAACTCAATGGAAGGAACACAACACACGACGCGACGCGCTTGGCATGTGTTGGATTGTCAGGTCGTTTGACTTTTGATTGTTAATTTCTTCATAACTCTGGTCTTATCCTGATTTCCGTAGTCTGGGATTGACGGTTCTGTCCTTAGCACTCGCGATATGCGCACTCGAGGCTCTTGCGTCGGGACCATCAGCCTCGACGACCGGTGCTCGGCACGCCGAAACAATTGCTAGTCCCTACACCTTGGCTCAGATGGTGGATCCTGACAGACAGGTGCTCCTCGTAGGCACCAAATATTTGATCTACGTGGTCATCCCAGAGGCCAATCGGGAAGGAAGGAGAAGATGAGTCGTTGCTGTCAAGAGACGCCCCAACGTCCTCTTCGGAGGACACATCGACCTCGACGACTGAACAGTGGCACAGTTCTTTTGAAGAGCGTCCGATGTCCTTCCCAACTGGGGTGGATGTGACCGCACGCGACCTGCTGCGAACCTGGGCAGTTCGTTCCCGAATACCCCACCAGCACTTGACAAAGCTGCTGAAGATTTTGAGGCAGATGAAGCCAGCCGACGTGTCAAATATGCCCTTGGACGCACGAACACTTCTCGGCGAAGCCGGCGATCTGCCACCGGTAACGGCATTTGACAGCGGTGAGTACGTTCACTTAGGACTCGTAAGGTAGTTGACTGAGCAGTTAAGTGCCTCTTCCATGCAGGTGGTAGGTGACGAGATAGTAGCGTACTTAGCCATCGACGGTCTTCCTATTCATAAGAGGACCAAAAGAAAATTTTGGCCAATTTTAGGCAGAATTATCCAGCCCTTTGTTAGTCAAATGTTTGCAGTAGGAATTTATTGTGGACAGGGAAAGCCGCCCGATGTTCAGGCATTTTGCAGACCGCTAGTAGGAAAACTTGGAACCCTTGCAAGTTCTGGTCTGCGTGTCGACGTCATCGACAGAACTCTTCAGTTCCGCCTGGCAGCCGTTATCTGTGATGCGTCTGCTAGGGCATTCATTAAGCAAATTAAGAACGTTAATGCATATTACGGTTGTGAAGGATGCTATGTAAAAGGCGAATACCTTGAGAAAGTAATCTACGACAGTGTCTCTGCGCCTGCTAGGACGGATGAGGAGTTCTTGTCTCCTGCTGATGGCAGTCATCCAGTTGGCATTTCTCCTTTGCTAGCTTGTAATCTTGGAATGATCAGTTCACTTCCTTTAGACTGCCTTCCTTTAGTTTGACTAGGTGTAATGAGGAGGCTGTTGAACTTGTGGCTTCGAAGCCCAAGGGAGAATTCCTTTAGGTTGTCAAGGGCTGCAGTACGTACGCTTAATGAAAGGCCGAAATGGCTGAATGCGTACCTCCCACGGCAATTTTCGCAGCGTGCCAGGTCTCTTAATGATGTAGACACATGAAAGGGCACGGAATTGCGTCAGTTTCTGCTTTACACAGGCATAGCGATCATGCGGGACATTCTTCCTCGTAGATATATGAAGCATGTTTTATTACTTTTCGTAGCAGTTGGCTGTATGGTTAGGCCTCAGTCCTGCAAACAGTGGGTTTCCTATTGTAGGCATTTGCTACGTAGGTTTGTTGAGGAATTTTCCTCGACGAAAAATGCTGGCGCTGTTTTCCTGTTGGGTTGTAGATAGTAATGTCCGGCGAACTACCGCCGGATGACAATTATCAAAACAAGAGGAAGGCAAAAAATCTGTAGGACCCTCTCCTCTGGGCCCTGGGGAAGATACCGGAGGTGGCATCAACGTCGGTAAGGTTATCTGTTGTTTACCGATTTTCTGTTTCAGGGATCTGAGGTCGAAGCAGCAGATTGCAGTGCAACCATACCAGGTTGTGCCTCCCCTCCTTACGCGGGTAGACTTCGCGGTCCCGTATGCGACTTGCGTAGGTAGTAACCGTTTGTTCAGCACCCTCCGGCGGATAGGACGCCCAGAGTACCAACACCATCGCCAGCGAGGGCGGGCTAGTATGAGGCAAGGCGTTCGATGGATGATGCAATCACTAGCAATGCTTATACATCTGGTCTCTGAGTTGCGTCAATAGCACGCAGCAATGATACATCTGCTCCAAGGCCTCAGGAGCATGTCCATATGCCCATCTGAGTCCTCCGGATTCAACTTGAGGCAGATGGACACTCCGGAGCAGCTAGACGCCCTCGTCAATGCTCTCGGCGACAACACCTATCGCCAACAACTGACATGTTACGTAACTACGGTGTTCATTACTTTGTTAGGTGACGTACTTGTGCTCTCTTGACGGGGACGCTGCTGTGTCCTTCGTTGACCGAGTTTTCGGAGCGCTGTTCTCCGAAGAAATCACCTCCGTCGTCGTCTTCTATGGTCGACAACAGGGAAAGAGGTCGTTCTTCGGAACACCTCTGTATAATTTCGTTCTTGGTAAGACCTGTTATGCATGTATGCTGATGGAATTTATTACAGAGGTCTTCGACCAGTGGAACAGAGGACAGTGCTCCGGCAGTCACCAGCTTGAGAGGGCGCTGAAAAATGCCTTTAAACGGGCATACGACCGTTTGCCTAAACGAAATAATACGTTGAATGCAAACAGTGCGTCTATTCTTAACATCACCTATTAAGATTGCGTGGCATAAATGCAGTTTACTTAATATAATTGAAACGTTACTTGTTAGTTAGCTTCTTTCGCCTTACTCGTATACATGTTTCTTTTGCAGATTCGCACAATCCCAATGGCGAGGCGGGTACGTAAACGCAGTCATAACTTTAATCTTTGTACATTTTAACAGTTTTGCATTTCTAACAATTTCGTTTACATTTGACATAACGACTTCCTTCCATGCACTGCTAAAAAATATTAATGCTAATATTACCAACGAGTTACGAATACAATCTGCATCGGATGTGATTCGTATCCTTAGTTTCGAGGGACCGGACGCGAATCGAATACGTGCTTGTCAAGCAAAACGGTGGCGAATCGACTCCAACCTATCGTAACTCAAAATTTTCAAGCAAACGGAAGTCTACTTATATCCTTTATCAGCGACCCCCCCAGACCCCCATCCAGGTTTTGCCCCCTACCGAACCCTATACTTATAGCTAATAACATTTTTAGTAGTGCATGGAAGGAAGTCGTTATTTCAAATGCCCCCCCCCTACAATCATCACAAACAACCTAGGTAATCCCTTGCATCTAGGAATCTCCTTCAATGTTTCACGAAAATTGGCGTCAACTTCACTATTCTCGCTCGAGTCTATAAGTGCATGCAACGGTCTCGGGGTAGAGTTCCAACCCGTTTGCGTAACACTTTTCTAACAGTCAGTATAACATTCCTGCCTGTCATTCAACACGCATCACGCAGATAGCGTGAACAGTAAGGGCGGTCCACTCCTTTCGAAAGATCTCGGGTCCCCTGCTCCAGTGCTTAGGGCAATTGCGCCGGCAGTATCCACCCCACACCGCCCCCCCCCCCCAAAAAAAAACAGTAGTCCGCTTATCCGCCACTCAGAATGAACGACAACAATCGCCGGGTCGGATCTCATTTCGTTGACTTACCTACAGTAGACATGCTCCAGCCTAACCCCACCCCAACCTTCACCCCTAACCCTGACACCTAACCACAGCCCCTAACCCTAACCTCTAACAGGTACGGCTACGAAATAGGATCTTGCCCATCTCCGAGATACTTTGACACTTTGCAGTGAATCATTTTATTTTAATGAATAGATTTGAGAATAAAGTTTTCGACAGAGGACTGAAAGAAGTCAGCATGCAACTTGTGTGGCAGCTGCCAGCTAGCCTTCTGCTCCGCTTCAGACCTGGCGGGCCAGAGGGTTGAACAGCAGCCCGAACAGGCGAGGAGAGCCGATTCAGTTGATTGGCTGTTGGCATCCTGGTGTTGTCCTGCCTCAGAGAGCTGTGATGCAATATGCAGTAGGGGCATCCGGAGGAGACGCTGTGGCAGGCAGCTGAGATCGGCAGGACCCATACGTCGGATCTCTTTGGTCTCAACGTAGGCAGGCCAACTATCCCGCATGTACGCTCTACCATAGACAGCCTGCAGCGGAAGACGACGGCTGTCTGGCAAGAAGTCCACCGAACCGGGGGTGCCTCCCATAATCTGACCACCATTCCCCGATCCGTCCTCTGCGCCAATATCTTCCTCCAGCTCCCAGACCACTAGGCCCTCAATCGAGTCTGAATGCATGGATTAGGCTTCCTTCGTATATCGGCGTACAATAAGCCGGTGGCAAATGGAAAACACTCGGCAGTAGCAAGCTGATCACAGAGACACACACGAAA